GTTCCGACTTTGTCCAAAATCTAATCATTTCACGTCAGGCCGAAATAAACCTTAGGTTTAAAATTTAATGTTTTTTTCTTTATCGGTTTTTGAGTTTTTTTCAAAATTCGAAATTTACACATTTTCTCAAATATCTCGAATACGGTCCATTTTAGAGAAATTATGTAAAGAATAAAAATTGTAGAGAATTATATTACAAACAACTTTTAATTAAACAATTTTTATAAAAAAATATTTTTTTTACATTTTGTCAAATTTCTCGAATACGGACCATTTTAGGAAAATTTTGTATTAAACAAAATTATAGATAATTATATTAGAAGTAACTTTTATTTGAAGAATTTTCTTCTCCAAACGTAAATAACAGATATATTTCATAAAATATAAAAATGACCACCTATAAAGTACCCCCCCAGATGTTCCGACTCTGCCCAAAATCTAATCTGTTCATTAGACGCTGGAATAAAGCTCAAGTTTAAAATTTGGTGTTTTTCTGTGTATCGGTTCATGAGTTATGCGACCTACAGACACACACACACACACACACACACACACACACACACACACACACACACACGCACGCACGCACGCACACACGCACGCACGCACGCACGCACGCACGCACGCACGCACGCACGCACGCACGCACCCACACACACACACACACACACACACACACACAGAGACACACACACACACACACACACACACACACACACACACACACACACACACACACACACACACACACACATCATCATCATCGCGTAAATAGTCAAAACGGATTCAGGGGACCTCAAAACGTAAAAATCCGTCGAAAAAAATCATGATTCCTATACTTTCCTTATATTTGTATACAGATAGAAAAGTAAAAAAGGTATTTATAATATTGGATTGGCGCCATAAAAATGGTGTGCCACCCGTTCTCATGGATTCACCATGCCACTCATAAAAATACACGTTAGTTTGGAAATGTATTTATTAAATTTAATAGTAATTAAAAAAATTATTTTTTTAAATAAACGATTAATAAAAAAATATCAATTAAAAATAAACACTTGACCAATAATTATTATAAATATTTTATAAACTATTTAATTTAGTAAATGTTCAACATGTCCTCCTCCAAGGGCGTAGATAAGGGGGGTAATGGGGTAATTTCCCCCCTCAAGCCATAATCAACATCGAAATTTTTTAAAACGTTATATTAAACAAAAATAGAGAGATAAAATAAATACAATAAAACAAACAATTTCTCAAACATTGTCATCTAAAATAATAATATTCCTGCAAATTGAAAATTTATATACAGGGTCACATTAGTTCGTAATTGTTCAATATTTCAATTTGTGTTTTAATAAAAGTTATATGGATTTAAAAAATACATATTTTAAAAATATTTTTGCGATATTTGGGTTTTTGCTTGACAAAATAGAACACCCTATATTTTATTTTTAGAATGGCTTGGGAATACTGAATTTAAAATGTTTCTAAAAAATATTACAATGTTGCCAAACAATTTATTATTTTTTTTTTAAATTAGAGAATGATGCAGACCCCAAATTAAATTATCATAATTTAGGTAGGTCTACATTAATTTCAAAATTGTTTAATATACAGACTTGTAAAATACTAAGCTAACCAATAGAGGTGATACAACTGGTTTATTCTGTACAGAGTGTTTTGAAACATGTCTTAAATATGGCTAATCTTAAGTTCAGTTTACTCAATTTTTTCAAGCGCAACACACTGTATATTATCTTGGCATAAAATTCCCTATAAATTTGACCATGTAACAATACAAATGTGATAGTCAATAACACATATACAGGGTGTTCCATCAGTGCATATTTGATTAATAGCTGTTTTATTATTAGAAATACGAAGAAATTTTTAATATCAAAGTTGTATGACCATATTTAACAAATATTCTTAAATGTACAAGATGGTCCATAAACGAGATGCTTACCAAATCTATACTTTTTTAAAGCAAAACACCCTGCAGGTAGTAATACATATTTGATTGTTTTTACATCGAAAGAAATTTTTAAATTAAAATATCAGCCCGAGAATCCTGGAAACAGGGACCTCCCGTACAGGCTGAACTCATCTGGTACACAGACGGTTCAAAAACAAAGGAAGCTAATAGCCATACAACACTATGCAAGAGAAATATTAAATCAGCAAGTATCAGGCAAAACTATTGCCATATACTCTGATAGCCAAGTAGCTCTAAAGGCAATTCTCTCAACAGAAATCAAACCACGACTCGTGAAAGACTGTCTAGAAGACCTGACAGAGCTAAGTAGTCAAAATAAGGTGACCCTAGCCTGGGTTTCAGGCCCGAGAAGGCTCAGATAAGGCCATGACAGCCCCCGAACCCTTCTGTGGAATTGCGAAGGCATTTTGCAAAGGCATCCATTAAACAATGAATGCAAAAAGAGTCTCAGGAATGGTGGAACAACTATCCAAGACTGAGACAGGCCAAACAGTTCATCAAGGAACCATCGGCCAAGTTCACGAAAGACCTACTGGATCAAAAGCGTCAAACCGTTAGGATAACAGCAGGCCTTCTTACTGACACATAAGTGTCATCAATCCAGCAGAAGAAACAACTTTGTGCAGGTTCTGTGAAGAAGAAAAGGAAACATCATTCCACGTCCTGTGCCAATGTGAAGGCCTGGCTGGAATGAGGTTTATAACATTGGGCGAAGAGAAGCCAAATGCATGCAACTACATGCGGGAGCGACTGTCAAAGCTACTAAGTCTAATAAAAAAGACCAGTCTAGACGACATTCTCTAAAACAAACGTAGTCCCACAATAGATCTGAAAAGGTCGCGGTGGACAAGGACAAATAACGTCCAACTCCTAATCTATCTTTTACATCGTCAAACAATTTTAATTGACTTTATTCATTTGCTATGTTGTATATAGGGTGTGTCAAAACGTGAGGTTACGATTTTCTCAATTTTTTAAATGGAATAACCTGTATTAATTAATTGGTGGTATGACATATAGGGTAATCCATTTAAAAAAATGAGAAAATCTCTACCTCTTATTTTGAAACACAACATAGCAAATAAATGAAGTCTATTAAAGTTGTTTGACGATGTGAAAACAAATATAAAAATGTATAAGTTTGATCAGCCCCTCGTTTATGGACCACCCTGTATATTTAAGAATATTTATTAAACATGGTCATACAACTTTTATATTAATTTGTTTTTCCTATTTCCAATAATAAAACAGCTATCGATCAATTACGCACTATTGGAACATGTTGGTATCGTTGGATAGGTAAATTTATAGGGAATTTTATGCGAAAATAATATACAGTGTATTGCATTTGACAAAATTAAGTAAATTGAACTTAAAGTTAATTTAAAACACTCTCTATAAAATAAATCAGTTCTATCACCTCGGAAATGGAATAGTCTACAAAGATCAACCAGTCTCTTTTTGTGACAAATGGCGTGACAAATATTTATTAATCCTAAGTTTTATAAAATGTAGGGTGTTCAAATTGTTTTGAATAAAATTGTTTATTGAGCCCTTCATTCTACGCCAATGGGTTATGGTAATTTATCGAAATAGGGTGTTAACTAACAATAACGATTACCTATCTTATACATATTTTTAAGTTAAAAACTCTACTGTAATGGAAAATATTTAGAAAATATGTATTTATGAAATTCACTTTATCATCCTGTAGAATGAAAACTGCGACGTTCATAGAAAAATTATATTTAGCTATTATAATTGATTAGGATCTATAAATCCCCAAAATTACTGATATTTATTCTGAAACACCCTATAAATATATAAAAAATCAAAAACTTAATTATTAACATACTCTTTTCTGGAAATACACTTATGAACCCTAGACGTTGCATTGGTACCATATTCTAAAATAACACGCTGCGCATACACCAATAATGTGAAAAGTGTTACCCCCCCCCCACAAGAAAACAACCTAGCTACGCGCTTGTCCTCCTCCTTGAATACAAAAATATAAATAAAAGAGGTAGTTTTTGTAGACACACCACTGATTTTTATATGCGTTTTTTGTACAATAACTCCTGACCTACTCTTAGTTTTGTTGATATGTTAAGTCCAGGACGGATGAATTGCTCTAGAAATTCAGTTAAAAAATTGTAAATAGCTCGTTAACTAAGAAAGATACAAAGTTTCAGGGCCTTTCAGAATAAAAAAAATTAAAAATTCATAGTTCTTTTTGATTTTAAGATCGATAAGGCAAGTTTCTTTATATCAATGAAAATACGGGGGGGTTAAAAGGTACCCAACCCCCAACTTTTTTTAAGTGGCTTGCTTTATTTTTTTTTCTCTTTAGAATATTCGGCCTTCAAATCTACAGCACTGGTAAAAAATTCAAAGAAAAAATCGCAACAGCAAACATTTTACAAAAAAAAAAAAAACCGGTTTTTTGAATATTAGTTTAACGCCCTGTAACTTTGTTAGGAGTCAGTTTTTGATATAGGTAAATATAGCAAAATCCTTTTATTTTTTGGTAATCTATCTGAGGAAGAATTTATGACATACCTTTTTGAAACACCCTGTATATATAATATAAAATAAGATGAAAACTTGCGAGAGACGACGTGCCAGTGACAATCTCCACTAAGCCGCCGATGAATCTCTGGCGAATCGCTGGCGATTGACTATGAATACGGCTGTTAAGTCGTACTTTGATTTATTTGAAGTCAATAATCTTATATTTAAAGATTGTCGAAATAAAAATGTTTTTATGTCATTTAAATAAAGCTATTAAATAAAATTACATTTACTCTCGATAAACTGACTAGCTCCAATAGGTCGAGTTTGACACATGATGTAAAAGTATAATGCAAAGTTGCGGACACTTTTAATATCATCCTAGCATCTCCTCTTTATTCTATCTCAATAATTGCATGGAAATATAATTCATAATTCTAGCTATCTCTTCTGGCCTATGCGCACTATAAGTAAAACTATATTGTAGGTATCAAATTAAATTCTTCAGAAATGGTTCCGCATTTTTGGCAAGACCCCGCAAACTGGATGATACATGGTAAAGAGGACAACACAGCTGTTCCTGACATAGAGAGGCTTCCAGGGGAATATGATGACGTCATACTTCTTAATGGAATTTTGACAGGCAGAGTTTATATAATTAATGATATTACTATAAAATCTTTTCAATTTGGTACAGAGAAATGGACTAATTATGACTATGAAGAGTCTTTAAAAGATTCAATTCTCAGTGGTAAGATTAAAATCATAAAATTTCTGACATATAAGAACTGGACCGGCCTTGGAGCAACCGGAACCTTGAGACAAATATTCCATACTCCCAAAAGGCCCATCCGCCGCCCCTACTTCTGTGTGGTCATTGGTAATATTAAATAAGACAATAAAATTGGGTTATAAATAATATTTCATAACAAAAAACTAAAACATAATCGTAAAACATTTACAAACTAAAGTGATAAATTAACCTACAAAAAAGAATTAATACAAGATAACTACTTTAATAAAGAACTCTTAATGGGATATGCATGCCTGTTTGATAGAACAAAGAAATTCAAAATTTGATTTAATGTCTAAAAGTTTGTTTTACAAGAAATCATAAGCTATTTCAATAAAATGACCCGTCCCAATTTTATACCACTAGTCCCGATTTAAGATGTATCCGGATTTTGTCCCGTTTTTGTCACCGTCCTGGATATTAAACTGGATGGATATATGACATAAACCCTACTCCTAATTTCTAAGCCGACATGGGTGAAAAAAAACGGTCGGTGCGCATGACAATTTGGACGCCAGACTGTCAATTTCGAGCATTCTACGTCACGTTTCCCACGGGCGTACTACGACAAATTATATTATTTTTTATTAATAACGCGCTATTTTATTAATATTATTGGAACATTTGTTTTAGCTGCGTATTAATCAAAAATCATTAAGTTATTTTCTTAAATTAAAAGGTGTCATAGTTGAATGTAATAAGTGTTAAATTTAATTTTGATGATCCTTTTTAGTGCATTTCGTTACCTACATGTGGGCGCCAAAGTGTCAAATATCACCCTGCTATGCGGCTTGATTTTGTTGATCGGCTTTGTTCTTCCAGTTTAATGTACAGTGAGCATCATAAGTCTTACCCCCCCTAACTCGATAGTGAGGTCTTGTTAGGAAAATCGCCGAGACATGTCGATTTTTGATTTCTTCAATGTACATTTTTGCATGAATAGTTTACCCTTAATTTCATCCCTTACTGGAGGGTAGCAACCCTTTCGAAAAATTTAAATGGCATGGGGTGGTGAGTGACAGCTCATTTGAAAGGGGGTTTTATTCTCTATTCAACCTTGCAAAAATTTTTGAAATTTGCTTCATTACGTGTTGATTTATTAATGTTTAAAAATAATAAAATCTCACAAAATAGGAAAGCAACTAGACTAACAGTGACCTTCTAATGGCAAAAAGTCTTACTTTACGTCTGAACCAAAACCGAAATCATGCAGGGCCGAATTTTAGTTCTAAGGATGAGTGCGCTACGTTAATTTCCGTTATTCTGAAACAACAATTAGTCGAGAATTAATGAAGCAAATTTCAAAATTTTTTACATGGTTGAATAGAGAATAAAACCCTCTTTCAAATGAGCTACCACTAACCACCCCATGCCATTTAAATTTTTTGAAAGGATTGCTCCCCTCCAGTAAGGGATAAAATTAAGAGTAAACTATTTATACAAAAATGTACATTGTAGAAATCAAAAATCGACGTGTCTCGGCGGTTTACCTAACAAGACTCCAGTAACGAGTTAGATAGGGGGGGTAAGACTACCATTGTGCTCATTGTATAGTTCAGTGGTTTCTGTCCGATCTAAAAAAGCATCTATAAATATTTCATTCAAGCCGCCTAAAAATATTTTTATGTTGATGGTGATGTGACAACTATGAAGACTAGAGATAAGGAGGCGAATCGGCATACTCAAAATACGGTCCCAAAAAACGCACGCTAATTGAGCTTTTATAATTAACCGCATGGGCGCTGGTACTGCTTACAGTGTTCAAATTACATGGCTTCTTATGAAAATTATACATAATTTTGTCAAAATAATAAAAATAAACTTGGTTATAGCTAAATAAAGCACAGAACTTACTGTTGTATTTATTTCTAAATAAGTCTTGCATGTTTTAATTGAATAATTATTTAATTTTATCTATATAAAATACAAATTAGGTAGGTATGACCAAATTCGAAAAGGTTTGTTAAATGCTGAAATTTGATAAGTACAATTTTGTGGCGAATTTTTAAAATAAAACACCGTTAACAGATTTTTTATTGTTGTAAGTATAAAGGGAGATTTGGGGTGCACATGGTATTACCTCATCCTTTAATTTCAGTTTTTCCCTTTTTATTTTGCAGTACCATCAGTAAAAATAGTCTCATAATATTTGATAATATTTTCTAAAAAGTATAGAACAGCATCATCTCTAGAAAGTGCTTTATTTATTTATTTTTTTATTTATTTATTTATTTATTCTTACATTCAACGGCCAAGGCCTATTACAAAATGCGCACTTAACATTAATAAACATATATTTGTCAATAATACAATAAAAGCAAAACAAATTTTAAAGTAAAACTATAAATGAGATTGTATCTGAGAGAGTAATCTGAAAAAAACTGTAGTGGAGAAAAAAGGTTACTCACTCATATCGCATGCGAAATAACTAATATATAAAGATGAAATTAGATACAAAAACAAAAAACTTAATTACACTAAATTACATTACACTAAATATTTTAATTAGGAATATATGGATATAAATCAGGAATAAAGTTTTTTATTCTTTGAGATGGTAGTACAAAATAGATCAATTTCTTTACTCGAGTCATTAACCATGGACAGCATATGGTACAATGGAGACTGACATAATAAGTTTGTTCTGGGAGTGGGAAGAATGAATGTGCAGCTGTACCTGGAATTAATTCTTGGAACTAGGAAGTTAAGCTGAGCACATAAAGCCGGGCATTTAATTAAATGGTGTACTATTTTAAAAATGAAAATAATTGAAGATATAATTCTTCGTTGAAATAAGCTCTGTATTCCAAACATTGTTAAAAACTGGTCTTGTGGGTATCCCCTCTCAGGGTAAGTTCCATGAAAATAATAATGAAGACTCTTAAGGAAACGTCGCTGAACCTTTTCTAAAGTTAAAACGTGCACATTATAATTAGGGGACCATATTATTGAGGCATATTCAAGCTTGGATCTAACAAGGGCACAGAATAACAATTTGCACGTATCTAGATTATTAAAATCTTTGATAGATCGTAGGATGGAACCTAGAACTTTATAACAAGATGCGACAGTTATGGCCAAATGATTAACAAATGTAAGTTTTGAATCGAAGACAACACCGAGGTCCTTAATCGTGTCAGGTCTCTGGAGGACGACACCTCCTATATTGTAATCGTATCTTATGCAGTCACTCTTTCGCGTATATGACATTACGTTGCATTTTGCAGGATTTAACATGAGTTTATTATTTATACACCAGTTTTGAATTTTGTTTATATCGGGTTGCATTACGATACAGTCATTGTTGTTATTAATCATTGAAATAAGCTTCAAGTCATGAGCGTAGAGTAAATATTGTACATTAATATTCTTACAAATATCATTAATAAAGATTATAAAGCATAAAGGCCCTAAAATGGAACCTTGGGGTACACCAGAAACTTGAGATATCAAGCGAGACTTAACGCCACTAATAAGGACATACTGAGAACGGTTACTTAAGTAGGAGCCAAGGAGAGATAGTACATTATCAGATAAATTCAACATATTTAACTTTGATAACAAAATGGGATGACTAAGGCGATCGAATGCTTTCGTAAAGTCAGTGTAGATCACATCTACCTGTCCACCGCGATCCAATATTTCGCTGATAAATTGGGTTTTAATGACTAGATTGGTAACAGTAGACCTCCCACGAACAAATCCATGTTGTTCAGGTAAAATTGAATTTTCAATATGCCTATAGAGAAACTTGGTAACTGTAATTTCGAATACTTTACTAAAATTGCAGATAATAGCAATTGGTCTATAATTTGTAATATCATTTCTGTTGCCCTTTTTGTACACTGGAACAGTTTTTGAAATTTTCCATTTCTCGGGAAAAACAGACGAGTTTATTATTAGATTAAAAATTATACTAAGGGGCTTAGCAAAAACGAACAATCCTTCACGTACAAGAAAAGCAGGAACATTGTCTGGACCCATAGTCATGTTTGTCTTGATACGCTTAATTGACTCAATTACGTCGTCCTCGGAGATCTTGGGCATTATAAATGCATGGTTAGGTGAAATAACTTCAACGGAGGACTGGTTTACATTTATAGGGTTGTCTAAAAATGAGTCACTAAAGTATTCGGCAAAAGCAGATGCAATAGCGGCACTGGTTTCTAAGTCGTTGCCATTATAACACATGTTGGTTGGTAGTGAATTGTGTTTCTTTTTGGAATTGTAGAATGACCAAAAATTTTTTGGATTTGATTTGAGTTCAGCTTAGACATGAGCCAGATAGTTTTTATGGGCAGTCATATTTTCAGCCTTAAAAGCAGACCTCAAGCGTGTATATTCATTAAGATCAGCGTCACCGTTCGTTTTCTTGTATTTCTTCCAAGCTTTATTTTTTAAATTTAACTTGTGAATTAAAGGACCAGTAAACCAGATAGGGTATGTTTTATAACAAGGTTTCTTCTTTGGGACGTGTTGATCAAGAATATTATATAATTTATCATAAAACAAGCCCAGAGCTGTATTAACATTTGAAAGGCCATGTAGAAATGTCCAATCGACCAATAGGAGATCTCTATAGAGGGCAACAAAGTTTCCTTTTTTATAGTTGTATGCGGATGCATTAAATACTGGAGTGTTATTAGTACCTATTTTATAATTCACATCGGCACTAGGAACGATATATATGCTGCCACTGTTTTAAGCGTTTATTATCCTATAAAAAACATTTACAATGACACAATTGGGGTTCAACAAAAAATAACAGTAGCAACTCTTTATCTAACATTAAAACTCTATAAAAAATAAATTTTCTTTTCTAGTAAGTTAAATTTAATGTATAATTATTGTTGTTTGTACGTCAGGATCTATGACTGTAAAATTATAGAAACTTGTAATAAAATAAACTACACTCCGTAAGATACATATTGTGACTAATTTACAATAAATATTATATTTAGACATAAATACATTAGAAGCTTTAAAAAGACATTAAATTGATTTCTCCTTGTGTTTTCTTTAATTTTACATTTTATTTGTATCCTGTTTTACAATCTGGAACGACGTAAATCTTATTTTAATATTTTTTGGCATTCATGTACTCAGGTATTTTTTTCACATTATTTTAATTCTTTTCACCATTTCTTTATAAAATCACTGTATTTTACATTGACTTACCTAGAAAATTTACACCGCTGTTATTCGACATGCCAACTACAGTCAATTTCGCGAACTTTATAGAAAGAAGGACGGAAATTTGAAATTTGACCATTGTCGGTTTGCCTCCTTCTCTCTAGTCTTCATAGTGACAACATAATTTTGTATCCAGCACATCAAAAATTTATAAATTAATTAATTTATTGGAGTTTAGTTTAAGTATTTACTAAATAATAGTTACGCATTGTTGTTTCTTTTTTAAGTATAATGCTTAAATTTTTTTATCCCCCTGCATGTCGATTTGTCCCGCTTTCTACTTTTCAAAATATGGTCACTTTATATTTAAATAAACAATTACCATGGAGTTAGATATGGAGACGTTATTAACTTTTTCAAATATCCAAAACCGTATTACTGGGCGTAGCTTATGTCGACTCAATAAGGCCGATCCGCCAAAACAGGATTATTGGAAATGCAACCCAAACCTACACTTTTCTTTTTTTTTAGGAAATGTAACTTATTAATTGTTATAAGACGGATGATTAAGATAATAATCATCTAGTTTATCTATGTTTTTAAAATTACGAGCGGTTCGTAAGCGCGTTGTACGATTCAATTCTATTGGTTTCTCCTTATGTGCCTGTTCTTTTTTTATATCGGCAGACGTTATTATCGTTCTGTCGAGCGTATTCCTTGTAAATTTCGGTTCGCTCGATTCACAAGTATAGAAGCTGTCAGATAGGAACAGATTTTAATCATGTCACCACCGTTAGCACAGCACGTTCGTGCGTTTTTACCTGTGCCGTTATATATAATTTGAAATTCCGCTATTATAATATTTTTTCCGGAACCCCCTGTATAAAGCTCACGAATCCCTGTGTTAACGCTGTTCTAAAAAGTCAATCAAAATGGAAAAATAAGATAGCCGTTCATGAATGTGATTAAAAAAAAATGATTTAATAGTGTCTTCGTGAAAAAAAATAGTGCAAAATTTCGTGAAAATAAGGCCGGTTTAAGTGTCATTGATATTTTCCTAAAAAAATTCTGATAGGTAAAACATAACCTAAATAAATGTTTTTATATTCGCAGATGTACTTATGACCATGTCAGGAAGCCTAAACATCCGAAACCAATCATGTTTAGATGAATCTGGATGTGATTCCGGAAACGAAATCGCTTACAGAGAGCACTGTACATTCGTCGATCTTGTCGAAACATTCGATTGTTTGAATCCAATTGAAGCAATTGGCTTTTGTAATCTAATTTGTGGTAAGTACAACCATGACACATCGGTGATAATTAAAAATAAAAAAATATAGTTACAACCGAAGTTACAACTGTTTAATATTATTTTATTATTGATCTGGTTAAACTTTAACAGACGTTTATAGAGGAATTTAAAACAAAATTTAACGAAGCATCATGTCTCTCTGCGAAATTTACAATATAATTAGGTAAAACTGTTCTGGATAGGTGCAGCGAATCATTATCCATGCTTTACAAATAATATGAAAACGCTGTAAGGCAAGAATTACTAGTCAAAACAATATCTGTCTTGAAATTAAAAACTACTTGCATACATCCTCGATCAACGTCTTAATATTATACATCATCACCAATATCACGAAGTGACGTAACTCGATTATCACAACTTTACAAGAGAGCGTTTTAAAGTGTTTTTATAAAGTTACGCCTCTTCGTAAAATTATGAGATACACCGGTTAGATACGTGCTTTTTTAATAAATGTAATGAATTAAAATACGCAATTTCGTGAAATTGTAGAACATTCTTTTTTACATAATATGTGACATCTCAGTTTTTAATTTTCAATTTTTTCGAGTTACGTCACTTCGTGATATTGACGACGACATGTTTTACTTAAATTAGTTTTTATTTTTCCAAACAAGAAAATACTGAATATATAAAACAATATATATCTTTTTAACATTCTTTATGGGATAAAATCCATTATATCAAAAGGATGAGTACCTTTAATAAAAGCTATTGGATTATCATTCCATTTAAATTTATAATCTCCCTTTTAACATACACATTCTCAGCTAGCACACAAACATTCAATCTCCGTTAATAAACAGCAATTCCGGGCTCTTTAAGATCGCATGTTCTTTTAATGTAACTCTAACATCCATACAACCGCCGAATGTCCGCAACTGCAAGATTTTTATAGCACATCTCACAGAGGTTACAAAGTGAAGTTCAGAGAACATCACACTAGCAGTTTTACTGTACTTAGCACGAATTTAAATTAGTTCTACAGCATTCGGTATACTGTGTCCACGAATGGATTGATTAATAATATTTATTTTAATTTAAAAAAGTTATTCTTCATAATTTTTTATTTTAGTTGCTAAATATATACGATTCACGTTTAAATTTTTTTAAATATATTCAGTGCCCACTGGGTGAGAGCAGTTTCTACAAAGAACCCAAAACATTAACCTTTATAATAAAAATATAAAAAATGTTACTGTAGCCAGAGGGGGTTATGATTGAGAAGCTCTGTTATTTTTAACAGGTCTGTTATTTTATATAAACACACAGAAATAACAACCTGTTCACAAATAACGTGTATGTTAAAAATAACATTACTTGTCCATCATAACCCCTTTAGTTTGAATATATTTAGAAGATATCTGTCAAATTAACATCTTTTAACCACTGCCCAGTTAACGTGACGAAGGTATATTTTTTCCATATAGCAAACACCAGGCTCCAGTTAAGTAAAAAAAGCCATTAATTTGAGATGAGTAAAACATTTTTAGGGCAAGTCTTTGCCCAAGGCCTGCTTCAAAACCTAAGATATATCGCAATATAGACCACTGTTTACATACGTATATTTAATATTTAACACCTTAACGACCGCGTGCTAACAATAGTTAGCTCACTTTTATTTTTCCCTGGGACCGCGTGTTAACTTCAGATAGCACGCATGATATTGATATTTTAACTGCTGTGATATCGACAGGACGCACGTTAACAATGTTAAAAAATAATAGCGGGTTCAGCATGGGGCACACCAAAAAAAAATTGAGATGTCATTTATCTCGTGACGTGATTTTTCCGTAGCTGTATAGTTACTAATCAACGTGTACTTTAAATATAGAAAAATATTTAGAAAAAATACATAAAGGAATGCAAATTCTCTTATAGTCAAGCGTTATTTAAATTTTTTGGCTGAATGACATGAAAACAAAAACAATCTAAACAATAATCTTCATACTTTGATCTCGTACATTACTGAGCTGCAATCCGTCCATGCAGAGTTTTGGTTCTAATATAGCAAATGCTATATCTAATGCCTTTTTTCTGTAGATCTCAAATTGTATTCTTCTTTTTTTTCTTTTGGTCATCAATTGACTCAATGGTGACTAAAGCCATGGCTAAAAGTTCCTTGATCTTCGTGATCAATATTTTATTTTATGCAAAATCTTTATGTTCTATGAAAGCATTTACCATTGCTGAACCAAACCTGATTTCGGTTGCTAGTTTTACATACCATTTAGTTCCTTTTTTTAGACACGTAGGCTTTCATTTAATATATGCTTTAGATATAATATGATCAATGATGACTTGGGGTTTTTCTACTTCATTTGACCGTTTGTTCTTGATCTTTCCCATTCGGTAAATGTGATATTGTGCTCAAAATAATGAGTTATCTGCAGTTAGCACGAGGTCCCAGTATTTGAAATCAAGCGCTCAGACCGTGTTTAATCCAAATATTGCACATCCAAAAACAATATTTGGAATTCAACAAAAAAAATTGCAGATATCATTTTTTTTGTTAGAGTACTGTTACTAGTATAGTATAGTATAGTAATTTTAATCGAAAAATCTTATAAACTAATTACTTATCATTGGGCTGTCTTAATTGTTTCTATAAGAAAGCATCACAAGTTATCGTGACGATTTATTAGACTGTTTTACAATAGCACTAACATTAAAGTTCACTGCACTAGCTCAAATGGCTTCTTCCTTTTGAGCCTTCTGTTGAGTGTAGAGTTGTCCAGTATTTGCAGCGCTTCTCCGTTGACGTGGGAGTGGAGTCGACCCTCATGTTTCGCAGCAAACCTCTTTATTTCTTCTTTAGTTGTTCGCATCTTCAGATAGATAGAACCAAGGTGCATCAACAATGCATCTTAGGACTTTATTTTGATAAACTTGTATCATGTTGATATTACTCTTGCTGCCACATTCCCATAGGTGTATGCCATAAATTCAGATTGGTTTTAGGATTTGTTTATAAATCAGCAGTTTGTTGTACACTGACAATTTGGATTTTCTTCCTAGGAGCCAATACATTTCTTCCTAGGAGCCAATACATTTTTTGAATTTAAGTTCTTTACGTTTTTTTTATGTGCTCTTTCCATTTAAGTCTTACATCGGTAACAATGATATAGGTCTATATAATGACACTTTATTCGGTGGTTTTCCTGGAATTAGGATAACTTCAGCCATTTTCCACGCATCAGGTATATATTTAAGGCGAAATGCTGCATTTATGATGTATGTCAATTAACCAATAGCCTTCCGTGGTAGTTTCTTTAATATTTCTCTAGTAATAAAGTCATATCCTGGGGCTTTTTGTGAGTTGATGTTTGTCTGAATTTCTTGCGTAACTTAAAGTTATTCCATATTATGGATCGTCTCATTAGGAGTGTCTTGATTTTCATCTAATTGGAACGCCTTTTGAAAGTGGTCAGCGAAAATATTGTCTCTTGCCCATCTGTTATCTGCTATTCTGATAGAAGGATAGTGTTTACACGAATTTTTCATCTTTTTAGTTGCTTTCCAAAGCGAATAATCAGTTTCTTTACCATCAGTTAGTCCTACTAGTTATCTGTTGAAGGATTCTTCTTCGTGGTTTATAATTTATAATTTCTTTTCTCAGTCTTTGGGTATAGCCCTATTTAATATATCAGATATCATGAAAAAATGTTTTTTTAAGTTTCTTACTTGATTTGGCTTTACGACAGCAGTCGTTAATGTGTTAAGGGATTTCAAGTTAACTGGACGCGGACTGACATTAGAAACTCTTGCGTCCAGAAAATATACACTTTCTGAATAATTCTTCGTCCAGAAAATAACATTTTGCCGATCAAGACCAGAAAGTAGACGTTAGGGACCAGTAATATTAATTAACGTTACAAGACCGGAAAGTAGGGTTTTGCATGTCGAGACAAGCAAACCTACCGTGACGTACAATATATTTTTTTGAGACCGACACTTCGATGTAAACTCAATTATTAGTTTATTTTTCTACACCCGTATTATAATAATGCACTTATATGCCCATAATCCGTTTTATAATGATACCCATTATGATACAGATTTTTCATTATGATACAGATTTTTAATCAATAGAAACCTACAATTTTTCAATCAAGCATGATGTTTGACGTTTGTCCTAAATTCCTATGTAATTGTTTTAGTTGTCTAAACGTATTAAATTTTCGTAGATAGCTAAACTTCGATAATTATAATATTAAAATGTCTGATATCAGCGATATAGGAGAAAGGAGAAAATGCAGTACAAAATATTTTGCCCCAAAAATCTGTGGTAATACCAGTACCCAAGGTAATACCATTAATTACAATTTTGTAGAATTTTTTATAGAAATACGAGTAATTACTGTTATTGTGTTCAATACCAATATAAATAGAATATTTATAGGTCTTGATTATTTATCGGGTGTAGAAAAAATAGCGTATGCAACTCTCATGTAATGGTTATTAAAACACTCGCATAAACCATACGAAACTCGCCTTTGGCTCGTTTCGTATCCCGGTTAATGCTCGTGTATTAATAACCATCATTACATGATCGTTGCATAATATACTATTAATGTAGTGATTAACAGATACTAAAACTAGGTAATGGATATAACTACATAAACTAACTAAATTTTCATTTTCTATGTCAGATAATTCAAAATGTAAATCCATATTTTTAAATTTACAAAAACAAGTTTGACATAAACTTTCATTCTCTCAATAATACGTTACACAAACAACAATATAGTGTGTCCACATATGGACTTAGAGGAAATAATTACTGCTTACCTTTCTAAGAGTTTTTATTTACATACAGTCTCTTTATCATTTCATCTTTAAATTCTACATTGTGATCTCTATTTGCCCATTGCATTATTATTTTCTTAAATAAATTTAAAAAACTCATAGATTTAATACAGACTTCACGTTTCAGTAGAGCCACCCGGTGGCGAAACTTCACCTGTTAGCACTAATTATTTTGGAATTAAAATGTAACTGTAGCAAGTTGCATTTATCTTCATATTTTTCTGTTTTTAGGAGCCAGTATAGTTTTTAGACCGCGACCTTTCTTTAAAATAAAGCTGATCGAAGAAAAATTAAAGCAATATGATTCTGACACGCACGTCAGTAAAGTAAAAAACAGCGACGGAGAACAGGTTATACAGATTATTTTTACAGAAAAGAAATTTACCGGAAACAGCCTTGTAGAAGCCAAAGATTTACATAAGAAACTCATCGAAGGTAACATCAATAATTATGTTTTGAAATTACCGTTAATTACTTGTTTATTATTTACATTTTTTAATTTACAGAAAAAATTATGGACTCTACTAATTCAGAGATTCTTTCGTCTGGGTATTATTACAAGGAAGGTGCCTCTACCAAAACAACACTATCATTGGTTATAGGAACTTTAATAGCAGTTGGTTTGCTATTTGGATTATTATTTTTGATTTTCGAAGACGAGGGAAAATTTGCAAGTGCCAGAGAAAGGTATATTATATTATTTAATAATATCATATACCGGGAAAATGTGGGAAGCCTCTCGGATTCAGATAGAACATTAAAAAATAAGATGACAAGTTCCCATAAATTTTTTTCTAGCGGCTCTTCGAAAAGGACTCCACTGGAAATCAATTTTTCTTAAATAATATTCAAACTACGAAATATAATTTAATGAAAATTTATTATGAGGGTGTTAAAAATATAGGCACAGGGCCGGCTCTAGACATTTTGGCGCTCCGGGCAAAATCTTAATTTTGCCCCCCCCCCCCCTTTTTTTAAGTAAATCTCATGCGACCATATCAGAAAGTCAAGAAAACATTGAAAAAAAAAATAAAAAAAACGTTTTATTAAAAATTCAATCATCAGATAACAAGATAAGCAATTTAGCACTTAAGGCAAAATAACAAAAATTAAAATGTAGTAATGCTAACTAAACTAATATCCTATATTATAAATAAATTCTAACTAACCAAAGTAAATAAAATGCCCTTTTTCTAACTTTTCTTTCGGCAAACTCACGAACCAGTGATTTCAAGTCTAATTTGTCACTAATTTGGTATTCTATAGCTATCATTGCCAATCCATTGAGACGATTTTGCGTCTGCATCGTTCTGAGATAATTTTTTATTATTTTTAGTTTTGAAAAGCTTCTTTCCCCTGAAGCCACAGTGACTGGCAATGTAAGTAGGGTTCTTAATGCTATGCTGAGGTTTTGTGCGAATTTAAGTGTAGCGATAAACTTGATAACTTCAACAGGGGTTTCCTTTTTGTTATTAATGACGAAACAATGCTTATTTCATCGGCTAGTTCCAGGGCGTTAATATCGCTTGAATTTCCATCAGTTAAAACTACTTCCAAATCTTTGCAATGAGCCAGTAGCTCATTTCTGGGCATGTATTTTAGACCAGAAATATTATACAAAAAGTTGAAATAATTACTGTGAGTATTTAGCAAATTATATCTGGTTTCCAAGGCATTTATTGCTTGATCTATAGTGTGATAAAAAATATATTTTATATTTTTCTTTGAGGTCTTGAACGGGTTCATCCGGGCCCTCATACAAAAACGTTCTTGTTTTGCTTCAAACACGATGACGTGGTGTGGTGGTTTCGAAATTAGCTTCCACGTCAATCTCTGAAGCAAGCTTGGTTGCTTCTAAAATGATGCTTTCAAAAGCTTCATCTGATCTCAGGTTTTTAAAGAAGAGTTTGCAGTTGCTAAGCATATCAATAGCTTGTGACATATTAAAATTTACAGTTTGCAAAAGTTTGCTGATGGGGTTAATGTGACTCTAAATTTTGTACCAGATAACAATAGAGCATATAAATTTGAACTATAATAATAATAATAATAATAATAATAATAATAATAATAATAATAATAATAATAATAATAATAAGTTTATTTCGAAAACCATGAATACAAAGTATATAATTATTTTACAATTTAGTAGAAATAAACAAGAAAGGGAACATTTTGTAATGCCTAACTACTATGATTTTCATAATAAAAGTAACTTTGCGAGCTTAGGAAAATCCTGTCTGCTGCTGCCGTTACTTATTAAGGCTATTTTGTTTTAAGAGTATAAATGTATAATTAGCGGTATACTGTAATACAGTGCTCCGCAACCGGTGTGCCGCGGCACACTGGTGTGCCGTAAGCCGACTTGAGGTGTGCCGCTCTTGCAGACAATACGAATCAGATTCGTATTGTAGCGAGACCCGCGAAAAATAAAGCAATCTGACAACAGCGCCGATGGTAAACGTCTATCCGTCTATCGGCGCGGCGCGGCGGCTTGATTCTCGAAGGCGACTAAACTAGAAAGATCCGTGCCGTTCGAGGCGCGACTCGATGTTTTCCTGAACATCGCCACTGCCTATATAAGCGCGCCTGTCGTCGCTCAGAGACTCAGAGAGAGTCGAATAGTCAAGTGAATCAGATAAATACGCGGGCAAACAAATAAATCGTAGAGTGAAATAAATAGTGAATTGCTATATAAATAAATTCTTGTGCCTTATAAATAAGTGAACTGGACTAAGTTTTGTTGCAGTATCTACTTTTATAAATAACTATAGTGCTTCAAATATGGATAAATTTTTGCTGAAATCACGAGCAGATGACGAAGAACCTAGCACAAGCTCCAGCATAAGTGCTGCAAAAAGAGCAAAAAAGGTGCTGAAAAGGAAGTACAATCAAGACTACCTTCGATATGGTTTCACTTGGTGTGGCGACGAAGCGGCTCCAAAGCCTGAATGCGTCATTTGCGGTGAACAGTTGTCAAATGAAGCAATGGTACCCAGCAAACTAAACCGTCATTTGATCACAAATCATCCCAGTTGCGTCAAAAAAGACATTCAATTTTTCCAACGGCGCTTGGATCAAAATAAGAAACAAAAGCAGTTTATGAAATCGGCGGTTACGGTTTCTGAAAAGGCATTAGAAGCAAGCTACCTTGTTGCAAAATTAATTGCACAACAAAAAAAACCGCACACTATCGGTGAAACGCTTATTAAACCAGCATGCATGGAAATTGTTAGACTTATGCTTGGGCCAAACGAAGTTAAGGACGTGAGTAAAGTTTCTTTGTCGGCCGATACTGTTAAAAGACGTATCCAAAATATGTCAAGTGATATTTTGGGAACACTAATTAAAAAAATCATTTCGGCTGGAATTTTTGCGCTTCAAATCGACGAATCAACCGATATTAAAAATAAAGCACAACTGATGGCTATTGTACGTTTCGTTGACGAGGACTCTATTAAAGAACATTATTTATTTTGTAAGGAGGTTCCAGAGAGAACTACCGGTGAACAAATTTTCCAAGTAACTGATAATTTTTTTAAAATACATAATATTCAGTGGACCAATTGCGTTGCTATTTGTACAGATGGTGCTGCTGCAATGATAGGCAGTAAGAAAGGTTTTGTATCTTGTGTAAAACAAAAAAATCCGTCAATACAAATTACACATTGCTGCATACATCGAGAAGCATTGATGGTCAAAAATTTGCCCGAACAGCTTTCGATCACAATGAATGAATGTATTAAGATCATAAACATAATTAAATCGAGAGCCTTAAATTCGCGAATCTTTGGAATACTCTGTGAAGAAATGGGAAGCGAACATGAATCCTTACTGTTTTATACAGAAGTTCGTTGGTTATCCCGGGGAAAAGTTTTAGCTCGACTGTTTGAACTTCGCTACGAAGTGCGTGAGTTTCTTTCAAGTCAAGATATGTACGATCTATGCCAGCACCTTCATGATGAATACTGGATAGCCAAACTTGCATACATGGCGGATATATTCGAACATCTGAATGAACTTAATAAAAAAATGCAAGGACGGAATGAAAATATATTGACGTGCTCCGATAAATTACAAGGGTTCAAAAAGAAACTTGAACTTTGGCAGGAACAGTTGCAAAAAGGATGTCTAGAAATGTATCACAGGACCAACCACAGTACGATCGAAAACAAGCAGTTGATTGTGGATTTGGCCCAACAACATTTAAGTATGCTTCAACAAAAATTTGAATACTATTTCCATTCTATCAACACGGAACAATACAATTGGATTCGAAATCCTTTCGCAACCAATGCAATAAGTTCCACGGAAGCACTGCCATTGCAAACTCGAGAGGAGTTCACAGAATTAAGTAATGATATGACCCTAAAACTTAAATTCGACGAAGTTCCGTTAGATGTTTTCTGGATTTCCATCAAGACAGAATATCCACGCATCACCGACAAGGCCATCTTCACACTACTTCCGTTTTCCACAACATATTTATGTGAGCAAAGTTTTTCAACGCTTGTATTAATTAAAAATGATAAACGGTCATGCTTAAAAGATCTTGACCAAGAAATGAGAGTTGCGCTGTCTAAAATTGAGCCGAATATAAAACTTTTGTGTTCAGCGAAGCAAGCGCAGGTATCACATTAATCAGTCATCATCATGTCAAAATATTTATTACTATTGACGTGTCAACAGAAGTAAATTTAGTATACCTACCTGTCCTACCTAGTATTTAGTATAGTTCTCATGTATGTACCTATTTGTATTTTTCATTCTATCTGAATAATAAAAAAAAATAAAAAAAAAATATGTATTATGTCCTGAGTGAAAATTTTGATGCCCCAAATCTGAAAGGGGCTTCTTCACATTTTAAAACAATAAAAAAAACTAAGGTAGTTTGGACATCCATAAATAATTAGTATACATGGAGTGAACTGACCCCCGACCTAGCTACGCCACTGCTATAAATATATTTTAGATTTTGGTGTGCCACGAAATTCTAGGGAGCAGTGTGGTGTGCCTCAGATGAGGAAAGGTTGCGGAGCACTGCTGTAATACATCTTATTATAATTTATATAATAAAACGAAAAAAAGAAAAAAAATTAAAATAAAAAAAAAATACATAGGTATCAGATTTTGAAAATAAATTTAGTTGCAAACCCAGGTAAAATTGTCGAAAATGTTTTTTTTTTTGCTTCTTTTTTTTATTCTTATCTATATATATTTTTTTATTATAAATCTTTATAATTTATTATATAAATCAGGAAAAAATACATATATCAAATTTTGTAAAAACAAATAATTATTAGCTACAGACCCTGATAGAATAACAAACTTTTTTTTTTATTTATTTATTTATTTATTTTTTTGTTTTTATTTATCTTTTATTCTTATTTTTTTTTTTTTTAATTTTTTTTTTTTTTTAATTTTTTTTTTTTTTTATTTTTTTTTTTTTTTGAAATTATTTATTTCTGCTTCAAATTATTTAATAATCCGCTAGCCTCGTCTCTGATCATATTATCGATTTCTGAATTAACTTCAAAAAGCTTTAATTATTGTGTTCATACAGTTTATCGCTTGTTTCTCGAAAAGCTAGAGAGCTCTCATCTAGCATTTTAACGACTGATATAATGCGTAAAAGAACTTCAGACCAGTGATTTATCTCAGAATCAATGAGTCTCTGAGAAACTGCATCTATTGTTTCACCTATTTTCAATCTTTGCTTCAATTCAAGCTATGATTTCAAACAATCTATATGAATTTTAGCATTTTCATGATGTGCTAAAGAGTCCCTAATACTTCCAGTCTTTAAATTCCCGATTGCCAAGAGCGCTCAAGCTAGATGGTGAAGCAAAAAGTCGACATGGAAAACAGTACAAAGCGTTTTGAAATACGGAATATACCATTCATTCTCTTAAAACCTCTTCTCCATTTCTAAGCCTTTTCTTGTAAAGTTTTGGTGAGAATCTTCTATCCTGATCATCAAAAGGAAAATTAAAATTATACAAAGGTGCAGCTGGACCACGTTTAACCAAAAAAACTCTATCTGCTGCACAACTTGCGAATTTTGATTTTTGGAACGGCACGGAACTGCATCACTACTATTCACTACTCGCCAAACTTGTTTGAGATGACTTACCTCAGTAATGCTGATGGTTGCGTCCAAAGGGGGGTCCATATCCGGAAAGTCAGTATCTAGGTGCTGGGCGTTGTTCAAATGTTGGTCGTTTGTGGGAGCGTTGAAACTACCTTCTTCCAAGAAGTTCTACAGCGCATCTGACTGTTTTTGAAGCTGTGTTTTCTTGTTCAATCTCCGCTTTTTAAATTTGCTCCCAGAGAGTTTTCTCTTAGCATCGGACATTTTGGTTTCTGAAACAAATTAATTAAAATAAAAGATAATACTGATATCAAAAAAAGCCATGATTTGATTTAAATTATAATTTCTGAAATCCCTCCTTGTGCGCCACTGGCCTAAAAAAATGTATTTTATTTAATTTCAGATTCAATTACTTTTCATTTGATACCACACAAGCCATGATTTGATTTAAACTCGAATTTTCAAAATCCCCCCTTATGCGTCACTGACTTAAAAAAAATGTATTCCATTCAACTGCAGACTCAATTACCTTTCATTTGCAAGCCATTTTTTAATATAAACTCTAATTTTTGAAATCCCCTCGTGCGTTACTGGCTTAAAAAAATAAAATGCATTTTATTCATCTCCAGACTCAATTACCTTTCATTTGATACCACAAAAGCCATTTTTTGATGTAAACTCTAATTTTTGAAATGCCTCCTTGTTCGCCACTGGCTTAAAAAAATAAAATAAATTTTATTCAACTGCAGGTTCAATCAACTTTCATTTGATACTAAACAAACCATTTTTTGATGTAAACTCTAATTTTTGAAATCCCCCCTTGTGCGCTACTGGCTTAAAAAAAATAAAATGCATTTTATTCAACTCCAGGCTTAATTACCTTTCATTTGATACCACACAAGCCATGTTTTGATCTAAACTCTAATTTTTGAAATCTACCCCCACCTTTTTTTGGGCTTATGTCTGATGTATTTTTTTAGTTTTTAAAAATTAAAACAAAAATTAAAACACCTTCACAGAAGCCAAACGCACTGGACAATTTGCACAAGCACTTTTTTAACAATGTAAACAAACTATTTTATTTTATTTGGCACCAGCCGAAGTCTAGTGGCAAATAATACATTGTTTTAAGTCTACTTCCTTTTTATATGCAGTTAAAAAGGGCTGTTGGATCTTGTTTCGGTTGATTTCAAAATTGTTGTTTCCTGCACAGTCGTGTTGTCATTTGCCGAAAAACTTGTCAATTCTTGAAAGGCAGTGGTTGAGTGGTTTTATCATTGAATTGAATTCAACTAGATTTTGCCTTAATGTTTAAATATATTATTTGAATTATGTGCTTAGAAATAAAAATGATAAATTTCGCCTGCCGCCTCTTAATCTTGTCAACTATCAGTAAAATCTTGCAACGCATTTTTGAGAAAATTCCCGTGTACCGATTTCAATGAAGTTTGGTATACTTACAAAGGTCCGATGACAATGCAATATTATGAAAAATAATTTATTGATGTGATATCAGAATAATAAAAAAATATTCTTTACTTTTTAGTGCATTTTATAAAAGCCTGTAACTTAATTTTTTTTATCAATTTATTTTAATTTCCCATGATTTTGGCGCCCCTGATCGCCCTACCCTGATAAGCATTAAAATGTACAACCTAGTGCGCCCCTGGTAAACTAAATAAGCTAATTATGTTTTAAGGACAGTATTTTAAGAGGTTCTTACTACTGTTTATTACATTAAATTTTCATTAAATTATATTAAGTACTTTAAAAGTTATTCAAGAAAAATTGATTTCCGGTGGCGTCCTTTTTTAAGGGAGAGCCCCTAGAAAATTTTTTTATGGGAATTCGTCATCCTATTTTTTAATGTTCTATCTGAATCCGAGAGACCTCCCACATTTTCTCGGACACCCTGTATAGGGTATCGTAATGATACCTTTTTTAACGTTTTTACAGTTTTATTGCACATACTTTCGTATTCCTTATACAAGTGAAATAATTGCCATTACTATAATTTAATTTTTACCTACTTTTTCTATAATTTGTTTTTATTATAGAATTGGTTTAGGACAGGGGCCACTTACGTATAGATCAATTTTCTTCTCAAGACATCTCAGTGTAAGTGAGGGAGCTGGCCTAATTATGGAAGGCCAATCTGTAGCGGGATCTCTACATAATATTCCAAAGTCATTTGAAAATCCATCGTTTTCGCAGTTAAAGAAAAAATCTCCTTCTACTTCAGAAGCGAGTAATAGTTCGGAAGAAGTAAGTACATATGCACCTTAAAAAGAAATCGAGTAGGTAGTTATTAGGTATAAATATGTTATGCTTACCTTTAACATAGATTATTATTTTAATGGAATAAAAATATTTAAAAATGTTTTATTCTTTATTTTCTTCTTTTTATAGTTGTTTCCTTTGCTTATTTTTCTCTTTTATTGCTTCTTTATTAATTCTTGTATTCTCACTGTTCTTCCTCCTTGCTTTAATTTTTCGTATTCGTAAATATTTCTTTTTTTTCTGCTTATACTAAATGTATCACGTTGTATGTTACAATTTTAGGATGAACCCAAGGATATTAAATCGAAAGGTATACAAAAAATGGACCCTGAATTATTTGAAGATCAAGAAAGAAGAGAGTTAATAGAGAACGTGGCAGAAGAAGGAGAATTGGTTGATTTATCAGAAATGAATTAAATATAATAGAATACTAAGCGCTATGAATTATTTTAGATATACATCAACAACTTTTGTTATGAAAACAATAAATATATAAAGCTTTTATATGTTTTTGACTTTATTTATTTGAATATTTTGGGTAAACGGACAAGTTTGGCGAAATAAGACAGAAAGGAAGTTTAAGGGATTAGAGCTTGACCGAACTGGTCGAAAATGACTCGCACAACAATATTCTTCCCTTAGGTAATTATTAGAAACATATTTAGAACTAGTATTATCCAATATGTCATCTATTTTGACAGTTGACAGAACATTTTTTAGTAAACGTTTCTTATCCAAAAATATACAATAAATTATAATTTTCAAAATTGGAGTTTTCGTTTAAATATAAAAATAAATTGCGATATACTGTTATTTCCGAAAAAAATAATTATGTTTTTACTCCAAACTATTAAACAAAAAGAAACATTCTAAAATCTCGATTAATAACGAATATAAGTGAGAGTGAAACTTTTAGGTGGCTCACCCCATAGAAAAATAAAAAGAGAAGGTTTGAATAAATGGCGAGACTTGTTTCCTTGTTGGTAGTTGAACCGTAAGCGCATAGCGCGCTGCTATCACTACATTTAAACCCGTTTTACACCCATAAAAAATATGTTATTAAAAGTAATGACAAAAAATCAATAACTTTACTGATTTACCCCTTTAAATTTCACATTAATATAATCGGTGTGGCACGATTGCCCCGATGGTTTACTATGCCTGTTAATCTTAGGGCATGATTGCACCGTCGACCTTTTATAATCCGTTTGCCTGCATTTGTAAGTTACTTACGTACCTATTGTAGAATTTTCTTAGAAATACATTAGAACACACTTTCAATTTCTTTTCGCTAACATGCCATACATTTACTTAATACGTATTTTTAACTTATTTTTTTAGTTAATGATAATTTAATAATAATAATATTAACAATATTAAAGGAATATACATGGTAATTTTGTAAAGAAGCAAATCAATCCAATAAGTGCTAAAGTATTACTATACAAACCACTTATTATTTATATGTATGTATGTAGACAATTAATGTATTTAAGAAGAATCAGATGAATAATACTCGTATAATTACAATTTAAATATTTAATAAAGAAAAGGTGAGATTGCGAAGAACTATTAAAAGTATTTTTTGAGTTTTTTTCTAATATACAGTCTTTTATTTTTTTTGTATAAAGCTTTCAGAAGAATATTTTAATACATGCATATTTATACATAATAATAAATAAAACAATGTAGTCATGAATAAAAGTAGTTATTTTATTAAGTGATTACAAAAATTCACAGTACTTAACTAATAACTATATACATACTTAACTAAAAATAGTCTCCCATAAAATCTGATTAAAAAAATAAAAATTAGGGTTATTGACTATGAATATAAAAAAACAAAATAAAACAAAATAATACACTAAATTAATATTTAGGGAGCTAGGAGGTGATGAAAATTGTGAATTTATGAAGGTTTAATGTTCATTTTTTTATGCTACAACCACTGATTTTTTTTTATTTTATTTTTATGTTATACGTGATGATAATGATGGGATGTACGTTGTATTAGGTCAAATCTACTGATAATGTCGCTTTTAAAATTATTGACTACTGAATCGAGATAACTTAATTTTAATTTATATTTTCTGTTATTTATTTTTACAGGGAGACGGATACTGTTTATCTTGACATAGGTATTAGCTTGAAAATCTTTTAAAACTTCCAAAAAGTTGAAAATATTAGGATGCGGGCTGTAAAATTGTTCGTTAAATTTCGAATGAAATGATTCACAGGCGTTGGTGGTAAGTTCAGAAGTTGCAGCACATGAAGCCCATATTTTTGGTGGAAATGGAGACGCATCAAAAATGTAATTATTTAAAATGTAGTCTGAAAATAGTTGCACTCTTTCATCCTGCGGTTGCAGGTTACATATGTCCAAGAAAAATGCATCAATTACCTCTTCGGAGGGTACGAATGCCAAACCAAACATTAGTCTTAACCATTTTCCTATATCCTTTATAAACTGCTGTCAATCCTACATTTTGTATTTTTCTCCACCAACTTTGTGCCAAATGAAACCTGCAACCTTTTAAAGATGAATTAGGCCACATTTCTGTAACTGCCGAGTGAATAGCTTTTTCGAAATCGGCAACTACTTCAACTGGATAAAATGTATACCCAAGTGATAAACATTTTCTTGAAATAATATCAAATATAGCCTTGTACGAGGCTTTTTCCTTATTTGGTAGAAGACATAACACTAACGGTACATAATGGCCATTTTTAATTGCATGTATGGTGAAAAATTGCTAAAAATATTGCGTACAGCATTTGAATGTGCCATCTACATAAATCCTGTCACAAGTACAAAGAAACATGAGATTTGTTTTACACGAAAATATAATAATATTGTTAGTACAATCGTTTTCCAATAGAAAATCTTCACCACTTACTGTTCTTACAGCTACAGAATTTAAACAATCGTGAACATCACTCATATTTCCCGGTAAAGGAGGCATTATAGATCTCCTTGCGGCATATGCACACTTGCGAATGTTATAAATATCGTTTGACGTCATTTTCATCACCATCGGAGAAGATCGAAGGACACTATTAATAATTTTAGATGGTCTTACTGTGATATCGTCCACTGCTTTTCTTTTCACAGCTGCTGATACAATTTTTCTTTCCAAATTTTTAACGGGTGAATGATTATGGGCACTTGGTTGCGTTAAAATTGTTGTTCCAAACTCATCTAGCACTACTTTTCCTGTACAAGTTCTGTTTATACATCTCCATTTTCTGCCGATAGCAGTTTTATCACTACTATAATATTTATATGTATTTAAAATTAAATTGCTTTTTCCGGGTTCACTTAAAACAAATTCCATTTTTATAATACAATAATTCACTCTCAAATGAATAAATTTCAAAATCTCGAAGAACATTGAATTTTTCAAATAAATATATACCAGTTATATATACATTTATTAATAGCTTATTGAAGGGTGAGTTCTAAGTACATTACAGATTAGGGAAAACCCAATAGATAACGATAATTTCATGACCATCGGTTCGGTGCAATCATGCCCATACCTTTTTTCTAATCCTTTTCGACCCGGCTTATAGATTTGACCATCGGTGCAATCATGCCCTGCTCAATATAATGTGTGATCAAATACAGGGATAATCGTTAATAAATCTAAAGTTAAAGGTACATTTAAATAATATGAGATGGTGTAAATCTGGCTTTGAAAATAAATTAGGTTATGTTGCCATAAATATGTCAGCCTAATATTTTTATTTTCAAATGTGATATTTTTTTTCAAAGGTAAGTTGTATTATTTTAGTGTTCTTAAGAATGTCATTAACTTCTGATACATTTAAATTTTAATTGCAGAAGTAAATATTTTTCTCACAAAACTAACAAGAAATTTTATATGTATTTTTCTTGCTATATTATTATTACTCTTAGAGATAAATGGATTCACATTTTAAACATTTGTGGTCAAAAAAATGAAAGGAGTTGTGAGCGAAATGTGTGAAGCCAATTTACAAACAGATATTGTAGAACCGGAGATAGAACCTCATCATAGTTTTACTCATAAAGACCATGATTAAAAAAGGTGAATGATTTGTGCTCAAAAAGTTATTTTTCAATTTTTGGGTGATATTCATTAATATGTTTATAAATAATACCCAAATATGTTCAAAAACTAATATGATATTTAGGTCAACTTGTTAATTTTTGCATAGTTCACCTATTAAGATCATAAATCAGATGTTTTCTATTTTTATTGAAAGTTTTATACCTTTTATTGCAAGGTAAGAATTTAAAAAAGTTATGACTTGTGTTAATTTTTAATTTTAAGATACACACTGCACCTTTATTTTTGTTTTGTTTTAGATATTCCTGGGTATGGAGATTTTTGGAATGTGCATAAATGTCTATCTGAATTAGGGTGTGTTTCAAAGCCCACCTGTATTGAAGCTGGAGGCTCATTATACCCGAAATAGGCATTACAACTACACTAAATTGAAACAGATAGGTAAAGGCGTTAAAGGGACAATAGGTATAAGACTATTAGAATTAGAATGATCTTTCCTTGGATTAGGGATATTTAAAACAATTGTGTTTATAAATTAACTACTTTGACTTTTTATAAAAACTATATCCGGTTTTTTTAATAACAAAAACATTGTCATGTGCTATGCTGGTTATCATATTATATTTTAATTTTTCAGTAATTTAGGGTATGATATAGTGCTTGTTATGTTCAAAATATGCAGTTAGAAGAAAATGAGACGCATGTAATTACATGGTAATTCTAAAAAAATTAAACTTGTTAAAAATGTGTTTTATTTTTCAACTAATTTTATTTTTCAGTTAAAACAAGTGACATTTTCCATTTTTCAATATTTACCTACAACAAAAATTCACTAAACTTATTGTTTGTTTAGTAGTTGTAAGTAAAAGTTGTTAAATAGGAAAATGTTACTTCAAATATCTAAATTATTAAGCCCGCCAATTTTTAAATCGCTTTACTTAGTAGTGTCCTACTTTATCGACTGAAACTGACAGGTGTAGTTCAACCGTAAGTGCTTAGCGCGCTACTGTCGAGGTCAAGCAAACTTGTTACAGTAAACGCCAAATATAAAGAACCAACGACGCGCATTTATAATGCTAAGAACAAGAACACTCCTACCGATGAATAGAATTGGTAGCTTACCTAGAAAATTGTAAACCAGGGGCGCGTATATTTTAAGACATAAAATAAATGGAAAATAGTGAATGATGCTTGTTCATACGTATGCTTAGTGTTATTATTAGTACATAATTCTATAGTCAATTAAAAAATCATTATTTTTAGGTAAGCCGACTTTAGGTTAAGGAGAGCTCTGGTGGTCTAGTATTTTGTATTTTAACTGACATTAATTTTTTATGAGCAAAATATGAAATAATATGTGTATGAAGTAATATATCCTTCTGATTTTTTATACCGGGTCTTCATTTCAAAACTGGATAGTCCAAATAACTTCTGATTTTACGTAAATTT